GATTTGTAACTCAAAGTGATAATTGGTGTAGTGTTTTAAAATCTTGTTTTGTGTTTTAAAGTTATATCAATTTTAAAATTGTGTAGTTTTACATTTTCCTTTTATCCTCTTTCTTTTGTTACATTAGCTAATTAGTTGTTGTAACATTATCGTCTTGTTTTGTTTGTCATCTCAAAAGAGTTGCCAACATTTAAAAAAAAAATAAATAAAAAAGAATAAATATAAATAACAAAAATTCCAGCTACAGATCTAATCTTAAATAAAATATTTGGAACTTGTGTATTAATTATAACTTGTGTTATAATTAAAATAAAGAAAATGTCGTGCCCTTTTGAATTGTGTAATATTGTTGCTGAGGATGAATTGTGTGTTACCTGTTGGTTTTGTCTTAATCAATGGCATGCAAAATGTGCTAGGATTAATGCAAAAGTAGTAGACACAATTAGAAATAATGTTGGTGTTCGTTGGTGTTGTGTGCAATGCAGGAAACTCTCTGCAGACTTTTATAATTTTGTAAAGGATTTGCAGTCGGAATTGACATCGATGAAAAAAGATTTTTCCTCATTATCACTCCGATTTGAGAATTTCTCTACATTGTTTGAGAAATACCAAGAGTTAGATGAGTTTGTGTCGTCACCGTCAGTTTCTGGACAGAAACGCAAAAGGGCTGCGAAAAAGGCACCAACTAAGGGAATGCCTAGTCGCAAGTCCATATCAGCATGGTTTTCGTAGTGGTCTTTCAACTACAACAAATCTTATAGAATTTACGTCAACAGTAATAAAAGGATTTGTTCAGCGTAAACAAACTGATACAATTTATACCGATTTTAGTAAAGCTTTTGATAGGGTTAACCATGAACTCCTAATATATAAATTAAATTATATGGGTTTCAACACAAACTTAGTCAAATGGATATCATCTTACTTACAAAATAGATCACAACTAGTTTTGTTTGAAGGGTATCTATCCAAAACGATTAACGTTCCATCGGGTGTTCCGCAAGGAAGTCACCTTGGACCGGTCCTCTTTCTTTTATTTATCAACGATTTACCTAATTCCATAAATTACTCGAAATTGTTAATGTACGCAGATGATGTTAAATTATTCATTTCCCATAATTGTGATAAACGAGCGAGTTTACTTCAAAACGATTTAGATAGCCTTTTTAAATGGTGCACGTTAAATTGTATGGAGTTAAATTTAAGCAAATGTAAGCATATGTGCTTCTCCAGATCTTCTTCTCTGATATTAAAATATAATATTGACGGTCATTCATTATCAACTGTAGATTCATTTGTTGATCTTGGCCTCTTGATGGATCCAAAATTAAATTTTAATAGCCATGTAATAACAATGGTAAATAAAGCAAATGGTGTTTTAGGTTTTGTTAAACGGTGGGCCAAAGAATTTTCTGATCCATATATAACAAAACAGTTATTTACGTTTCTTGTTAGACCTATATTGGAATACGGTTCTGTTGTATGGGATCCTCAATATGCAATATACTCAGATAAAATAGAATCCGTGCAAAAACAATTTCTGCTATTTGCCTTACGAGGTTTACATTGGAATAGTGATTTTGTTTTGCCTTCTTATGCTAGCAGGCTAAAATTAATTAGATTGCCTACACTTAAAAGCAGACGTATTATGTTGATTTAAATGGTAATATACCCTCAGATTTTCTGATTTCATCTATTAGAATTAATGTTCCGTTTAGATCTAGTAGATACTACCAATTATTATATACTGATTTTCACCGCACGAATTATTCAATGGGCGAACCTCTTAGTAAAATGTGTGTTGACTTTAATTCTGTGTACTGTAATGTAGATTTTGGTATGAGTTTAGAAGTTATTAAATCTAGAATAATTTTATTTTTAAACAATTAACATACATGTTTTATTATTTGACAAACTAGCTGATGAATTAAATTCTGTAGCTGGTTTTAAATTTCCTACTGAATTCCCATTATGATGCGGATCATGATGTGTACGCGATCCCTCCGTAAAGGGAGGTCGCCCCCTCGGTCGGCAGGGGTGGGAATGTGAGGCGTGGGAACGTTCGAAAAAAAAAAATATTATATTATATTATATTATATTATATTATAGTATATTATATTATATTATATTATATTATATTATATTATATTATATTATATTATATTATATTATATTATATTATATTATACTATATTATATTATATTATATTATATTATATTATATTATATTATATTATATTATATTATATTATATTATATTATATTATATTATATTATATTATATTATATTATATTATATTATATTATATTATATTATATTATATTATATTATATTATATTATATTATATTATATTATATTATATTATATTATATTATATTATATTATATTATATTATTGTTGTAAATTTAAATTTGTTTCCACTAACGTCCACTAACACTTAACACCAGGTAGACAAATAAAACACTCGCGGACACTTTCGGTTTTTTATTTAGCACTTTATTTCACACTTGTTCACTTTTAGGCAGACACTTTACAAACTGAGATAACTTTCTTTCTCTTCTCCTGCTTATATATATATAAAAGTTTTTCTAGATTGTTCTAAACTAGAATATTCTTAATCTAGACTATTCTGTAACGGACAATATTATCTTAGTAATCTACACATACTAAATACTAGATAATCGATGTTATTATGTAACCGGTATTTACATGATCATATTTACATCATCACATGTAGGGGGAGCTGTACAAATATATGTGTGTTGTATTTAATTCACAATAACTGACACCCCTCCTCAACACATATATTTCCTATTTCCTTATTTTTAATTTATACATACTATTTACATTACAACACTTATTCATTCTTTATAGACATACTATAAAAATCCAGTCATGTCAATCCAAGTTCTTTAACTAGTTTTAAATGAGACACCTTTGATAAATTCTTCGTTAAAATATCTGCTATGTTCTCAGAACTAGAAACGTAATGTAAATCTATATGTCCTTCCATGTACACATTTCTTATATGGTGAAACTTTATATCTATATGTTTTGTTCTATTATGATATACTGGATTTCTAACTAAATGTAACGCCCCTACATTACCTCCATTTATCATTATTTTATCAGGACAATCTATTTTAAGTTCAGACAACAACTTTCTTAAATAATCAGATTCTTTGATGCTGCTGATGAAAAAGCCATATACTCGGCTTCAGTGCTACTTAACGCAACTGTATCCCGCTTCTTTGATTCCCATGAAAAAGCACTTCCAGCGAGCTTAAACACGTAGCCAGTATACGATTTTCTTGTTTCTATATCACCACCCCAGTCAGCGTCAACATAAGCTATTACCTGTTGTTCAGTCTTTTGATACTGTAATCTATAATCTATCGTTTTATTTAGATACTTCAAAATTCTTTTCGCTGCTGTCATATGCTCATAATGAGGATCCGTATTTTTCTGTGAGAGTTTACACACTGAGTGTAGTATATCAGGACGCGAACATATCGCCATACTATGGAGGGTATATTGATTTTGTCATTCCGCTTGTAACTCCTCGAAATACTCATGTCAGACCCAAAAAAGTATATATATTCTTGATCAGCGTAAAACTCTAAACGATTTAGCCATGTCCGTCTGTCTGTCTTTTGTAATCACGCTATCTTAACAAATTGAGATGGAAGGCTAAATTTTTGCAGACGTGTATATTTTGCCAGTAGGCAGGTTAAGTTCGTAAATGGACCATGTAGGTCCACGTCTTCATATAGCCCCATATAACGGTACCCCCCTATATTCGGTATTTTGATGATTTTAGCGACATTATTTAACGGAATCATTATTGAAGTTTGTAATAGATACTGCAGCATTAAACAGAAAATGGGCCATGTAGGTCCACGTCTTCGTACAGCCCCCATATAAAGGTACCCCCTATATTCGGTATTTTGATGCTTTTAGATACATTTGTAACTTCGAATTCAGCCCTTTTACCGTTTTTAACATACATTATAAACAGATTTTTCTTCAAGTTTCGCATTTAAATATTGTGATAACTTATGACAAAAGTTGCCTATGCAGGTCCACGTCGTCGTATAGGCATTCGGTATTTTTAATATTTTAACAGAATTTTTAACGGATTTTATTATTATTATTTTATTTTATTTATTTTTTTTTTTTGGAAATTGCCAAATTTGTACCAAATGGTGGAGGGAATTTAAAGTTCGGCCCGGCCGAACTTACAGCTTTTTTACTTGTTTTAACTTCCTCCTTATTTTTTTTCCTCCAAACAAACATGTATTGCCATCAAGGCAATGATTGTGTCGCGGTCGCTGTCTGATAACATGTTTACTCGATGAAAATTGTTTACAAATGATGTTCGCGAGCATGTTCGCACTCGTTGGTTGGCAAATGAAAGATTCGCCTGTGGATGGCCTGCTTTAGGGTTCCTTTTGTCAACAAAACACTGAGGCTGTTTGATATATATGTCTTCTGTTAAGTCGCTATTTAAATATGATGCAAAAGTAAATTATACTCTGCTGCAAGAGCTATAACCATTCTAATTGTTTCATATCTGACTACAGGTGAAAATGTCTCCATATAATTTATTCCATATTCCTGATCAAACCCTCTTGCAACCAATCTAGCTTTAAATCGCTCAACTTGACCGTTAGAATTTTTATTTAAGGTAAAAACCCACTTGCAGCCAATCACTCTTTGAACTGCTAGCAAATTACTCAATTCCCATGTTTCGTTTTTATTAGCGAATTATATTCATCTTCCATTGCCTGTTGCCAATATTGGGAATGCTCACTTGACATAGCCTCTTCAACAGTATTTGGCACAACAATATCCTCAACCTTCATTAAATTCAAAACATTATACTGTTTCTTTGGTCTACCTGCTTTACCAGGGTGATGCAGTACGACTACACACTTATTATATCTTAATGTTATGATGGATGCCTTAATTCATCTCATATTGGGTTATCATCAGGCCTTGACTTCAAAGACGTGTACCGCAAGCTTCTGCCTCGGGACCGTTTTTTATTTATTTTTTAATAACATCGTGCACTCAGTTGTTGTTTACAGGCATTGTCTGTTTTTGTATGCATATTATATATCCATGAATTGGTTAAATAAAATAACTAAAAAGTTATAAGAACCGTGTTTTAACATCAGTTTTATATCCTTTTTTAAATATTAATCAATTATTTATTTATACTTAAACTTATATTAAATAGTAGCTGACCCGGACCGCGTTGCTGGCCCACTGTATTATTAATGCACATGTTTGGCATTTTAGAGGCTATAAATCCTTTGTCGAAAAAATTGCAACAAAAGCTCACTTTATGATTTATTTTCTAACCACCGCACAGTGGTCGCTGCCATTGGCCAAAATTCAAAAAATGAAAATCAGATATTTATTGTCAAATGTGTACACATGAAGTCTTAAGAGGTTAAGCTTTTTAGAAAACATAATAATCTTGGTTTCATTCTAACTGGACACTTCGAAAATAGCATCAAAAAATAGACAATGTAGTTAGTTGCTTTTTTCGGTGGGATCAGTACAAAATAAGAGTAAAAATAGATCTGTATTACAAAATTAAATACATTTTAAAATGACAATTCTTGGCATAATTATTGAAAAGCAAGGTATTGACTTATTTTTAGTGCAGTAATTTGTGTGTTTAGTAGTAGTTGTTGTTGTAGCAGTTTTACACGTTCTGTTGTCTTTTTTCCGACTAATCCGGTTCTTCCTCAATGTCCAGGTTTAGGAATTCTGCTACCTTTATGGGCTGTAGCCATAAATCCTCTGGACGGAGTTGGGTAGGCTTGGCAGGACAATTAAACAAATGCAGCGTGTTGTGCGGGCCTGTATCGCACGCTGGGCAGGCGTTCCGCACATCCTCATCAATTCGTGCCCAATACGAATTGAGACGGCTGCACCATCCTGAACGTAGTTGGGCCAAAACTACCCTGGTTTGCCTAGGCAGCCGACGTTCTTCAGCTGCAATGGATGGGGGGTGGACTCCGAGTATGGCATTCATACTGTAATTATTGACTACCTCTGCGACTGCATCAGTATGAATGCTATTCAGACCTGCTTGATAGGCTTCATGATCTAGAGGCTCTCTCTTATATCGCTGGACCTCTCTCTCTAGATCGTGCAGGTCCTTCCTGACACGCCTGGGTGGGGGAGTTCTATCCACCATATGGTGGTTAGGGTGACTCCCGCGATAACACCCAAGCAGGTACTGCAACGAAAGCATATGATTATGCTGACGTAAGGGAAGAACCTTCGTCTCCTCATGTAAGTGGTCCACAGGCGTCATGAGGAGGCACCCTATTGCAGTTCTCAGGGCGGCATTCTGGCAGGTCTGAATACATTTCCACTGCGTTGCACTTGTATTCGCCGACCACACTGGAGCCGCATAGCTAACCACAGACCGACCTATCGCTTTATAAGAGGTCAACAAGGTTTCCTTATCCGCACCCCAAGTGCTGCCGGCTAGCGCCTTGAGGACCTTGTTCCTACTTTTCATTTTATCGCAAATAGCTGTGGCTTGCGCGGAAGACTTGATCATGCTATCGAATGTGACCCCAAGAATTTTGGGGTAGTTGATGGTCGGAATTATATGCCCCTCGACCTGCACATTCAGCTGTGTTCTCATCTCCGCAGTCCATGTGGTAAATAGTGTGGCCGTCGATTTAGTGGCGGATATTTTCATATTCCTCGCGTGGAAGAAGGCGGCAAGCTCCGCGAGATAATTATTCACCCTGACACATATGTCATCAACTACAGGACCCGACGCCATGATCGTACAATCATCCGCATAAGTTACGATCTCGATGCCGTCTGGAGGGCGCGGAATTCCGGAAAGGTAGAGGTTAAACAGTTCCGGAGATATCACCCCACCTTGGGGAACTCCCTGTTTCACTCTACGAGGCTTGGACTTCTTATTCCGGAATTCCACGTACGACTGGCGTCCACACATATAGTTGACTATCCAACGTTTCAAACTTGGCCGGAGGGTAGTGTTCTCAACGTCCTCGAACAGCGTGGCATGGTTGACCGTATCAATGGCCTTTGATAGGTCGAGAGCCACCACTACTGTTCTGTGGCACGGCCTGTTCTGGTTGAGTCCTCGACTGATATGTGTGGATATGGAGTGCAATGCTGTTGTAGTGCTATGCAGTGGACGGAAACCGTGTTGATGGTTAGCAACTGAATAGCTTCCTCTGATACTGGGGAGGAGTAAGGCCTCGAGAGTCTTTGCTACTGGCGACAAAAGCGAAATTGGCCTGTATGATTCGCCTTTGCTGGCATCCTTGCCAGGCTTCAGTAGCGGGACCACCCTGCCCATTTTCCAGGCTTCGGGAACTATGTGGGTGGCTAACGACAAGTTAAGGACTTTGGTTAAATACTCAACTCCCGGCGTATCCAGTTGCTTCAACATTACCATTGATATTCCGTCCGGGCCCAACGCTTTAGATGACTTAGCGTTTCGGATGACATTCGCAACATCACCCATCGTAAACTGTGGAGGTACATCCTCGGCGGGAAGAGCTTTTATACGACGTAGTACTCTTCGCCTCGCCCTATCACTCTCGGGGTGCTCGACAAATTGGCGGTTAAAACAGCCAGCGCACCTCTTCGGATCAGTCACAGTTACGTCGTTAAATGTGACTGCTGTCCTATCATCCTTTTTCCCAGGGTTCGAGAGTGACTTTACCGTTACCCACAGTTTACTCAAATCGGTTCCGATGTTGCAACACTTCAGATGGTCTAGCCACTTTTTCCGCTTATGCTCCTGTACCAACCGGTTGACTTCCACTGTCAGTTCACTGACTCTGGGATCAGTAGGGTTGGTACGTCGGAGCTCATCACGCTCATTCGCTAATCCCGCTGCCTCTGCTGGGAAATTTGGTCTTACTTCGGGTATTCGACCAGCAGGTATATAGCGAGCGGCTGCAGCTTTGATGATGTCCCGGAAAATCCTTTCAGCTACCCGAACATCAGAAGGATTGGGCAGTTCTCTGAAGCGAAGGTTGGTGAACTCTCTGAACTCGGGCCAGTGGGCTTTCCCATGGTTAAGGAAAGTGCGGCGTTCAGAGGTTATGAAATCGGGCGATCTGCTGATGGAGACGATTATCGGGAGATGGTCTGAGCCAAGAGAAATGACGGGTTGCCAAGTCACGTCATTTATCAGACCGGGTGACACGATGGTTAAGTCTGGCGAACTGTGACACTATCCTCTTATTCGGGTGGGGGCATCCTCGTTTACCGTGCAAAATGTGGAGCAGTCAATCTGCTCTGCCAACGCTGATCCCCTCTGACGGAATGCCACAACTCATGGTGGACATTGAAGTCCCCTAGTACCAGGCGGTTATTGCCTTCCAAAAGTGGGCTTATATTAGGCAAGTAACGCGGTTCACAGCTATTAACCGGCGGGATATACACATTAATCACCTCTACTTCGGCAGTACCACACTTGACTGCTACCCCCATACACTCCATGTACGGGTCACTAGAGACTAGCTCAAGCGAGATAGGTCTGTATTGAACAGAATGGTGTATCAGGAACGCTAATCCCCCACCTCCACTTCTGGTGCGATCTTTCCTCAATACGTTGTAACCATTGCAACGTTGTAAGCTACAATTTTCATTGAGCTTGGTTTCCTGCACCGCTGCGATCTTGATATTCCTCCGATTCATAAAATCCACTATCTCATCAATTTTACCTCGGAGTCCGTTGCAATTGAACTGCAAGAACGATGCATTGTCCGGAATTGGAACAGCAACATGTGGCGTTAAGTGCTGCGGTAAAGGTTGTTGTTCTGGAGACTGCGGGGGAGTTCCATACTCCGACGACCGGGTTAAACCGGAACAATTTCTAAAATGCACCCATCCTCAGCATCTATTACATCGCACCGAGACTGATCTATGGTGGATGGTGTTTTGGCAAACCGTACAGAACCATGGTCCGGGGTTTTCCTCAAGCCCGGCACGGACCAAAAGAATCCGGAGCAAGCATTCCGGGATGTGCTGCTCCCAAAACAGAAAAATAAACAAACACGAACATGTATACACTGGGTTGGCAGCCGCTGGCCGAAACTGGAGTGTTGTTGTTTCGGGTCAATCCGGTGTCGTAGAACCCGCTGCCGTGGGATTGTTTAGTAGTTGTGTATATGTTATGCCCAATATACTGAAGTGACTTCGCTCCAATTTTGTCAGTTCTATGGTGCTAGTGACATAGAATATGTTTTTGTTGTTTGGGATTGATAAGGATATAATTGAGGGATGTTCCATAATGTTGCCTGCATTGTCTTCTGGGTATAATATTGATGTCCAAAAATATAAGGCCTTTGCACTGGAAACGGCTAAAGAGTTAACAAATGGCACTATCTTCCACCCGCAGCTAATAAAATTTTAATACATATACATTTGTCATTGTATCGATTGGAGAATTATAGTAGGTGGCCGTGGGGTCTAGAAACAAAGATATAAACAAGTTTCGACTAAATTATACCCGAAAAAAATATTAATCGTCTTCTTCTGAGCTCTGACCCTTTTATAACGGGCAGCGAACGCTACCAATCAATAAAAAATCTATATTATTAAAATCTGCATTTGATTTACTTGAATAACACTGAAATTTATAAATATCCATTAGTATCTTTCATTTAATTTAATATTTAATTGTTTATTTTGTTTACAAATAGACAATATTTTGTTTACAAAAAAATAATCAAATTTGCAGGGGGACTCTACCTGAAGGCGGGCCGTTCCAAATAATTTTCAGTAAGACAATTTTTTAGCTCTTTAGAACGTAAAATGTCAAATAACAGAACAATCTAGTGTAGAAATGTGACAAAAATTGGGCAAATAACCCTTATTCGGGAGGTACGTTGTAAGGGGACCATGCCAAAACATGCATCGACCATATCCATTTTGTCACATTTTTTATTTTTATCCCATCAAGGTACCATAACCAAAGAATCATATTGATATCTGCACTGAAAGTATTTTTGGCCGCTGTTCCCATACGACCTCGACCACTGTGCACCGGTACCTCTTTATATCATTGTATTTAATTAAATTTTGAAACCTCAAATAATCGAAAAAAAATTAGTAAAATCGGCCCATCCGTTTTTAATTGATGTGTTGCTATACTTTTTTTTAAACTTTTTTATACATACAGATTTATAGAAGTAGGCTAGTTCCTCTGGCCCCAATTAGATACTTAGGTTTGGAGGGAGAGTCAGCAATACCTCGTATACTAACTTTCAGGCAGATATTTTCATTGTTTTGGTATATATAAACTTTTTAAGTAAATAGAAAAAATGGCAGTAAGGGTTGGCGTGGTCAATTTTTCTTTGCATACAAAAATAATTCGGGACAGAACGAATATTTGTAAAAAAAAAATGTCCCAATCGGTCTAGACATTTTGAACTGACTCAATTACCAACGAACGGCATTTGATTTTTCAGTTCTATATTAGAAAGCAGATGTGTCCAGTTCCTGAGCCCCAAAATAAATACTTAGGGTTGGAGGGAAAGGCAACAGCATCCCGTTTAATAATTTTCAAACCGATATCTTCATTATTTTGGCAAATATAAGGATTTAAAGTGGGCGTAGTAAATATTTCTTTCCATTAAAACCTAACTCGAGGTACGACGAACGTTTGTCAAAAAAATTATGCCAATCGGTCCAGCCGTAATTAACTGATTCAATTACCAACAAACATTACCAACGATTGACCAATAGTTTTTGTTTTTCCATTGGATAGTAGTCTTCATAAGCTTTCTCTTGATGTATATGGAACATGAAGAATTGTCCTAGAAGGCATATTGACCAATGGAATTATCCTGTTCAATAGATTTCTCCAGAAATGACCAAATACCTCCACTGATTTATTCTTTATTGTCTGTTCCCATAAAGTTACTGTATTTTTCGCAACCTTTAGATGAAAAATAAATACCAATATAGGATCCCAGTCTTTTGTGGAAACCCCATATATATCCATTGGGGAAATACACCCATTAACTACTTGTCGTCTCATTATCTAGAACTGGAATATAAGAAAATTAGGAGAAAATCTCAAGGGGACGTTGGACATTCCAACAGGACTCAGCTCCACCGCACTCCGTTGGTCTATTTTGTCTCGAGTATTTTGGAAAGCAAAATTAGGAAAAGTAAAAGTTATGGCGTTTGACTTTGCTGAAGTTTTTTTTTTATCTCACCCTGTAAAGATATATATGAAAGTTTGAAAAAAAATAAATAAATATATATATATAAATATATATATATAAATATATATATATATATATATATATATATATATATATATATATATATATATATATATATATATATATATATATATATATATATATATATATATATATATATATATATATATATATACTAGCTGGACCGGTCCGCGTTGCCGCCCCGTAATTTTAGTCTTTAATGCTTATTATATCCTCCACCTTGGAAAGAAGGGTATATTAACTTTTTCATTACGTTTGTAACATCCCTAAATGTTCGTCATAGACCCCATACATATATATATTCACAATCAGCATAAAATTCTAAGTCGATTGTATGCCTGTTTGTTTAAATTACGATACAGCCCACATTATTTGACGTATAGCATCAAAATTTAGCAGAACAATTTGTATTCTGTATAGGATGGTTGGTATTGAAAATGAGATCTATCGGTCCACGTTTTTGGTATAGTCCCCATATAACGGGGAAATTCGAAATTCGGTATTTTGATGATTTTTGCCACATTTCTTCTCGGATTTGTCTAACACATATAACGATACCTACCAATATTGGGTATATTGATAATTCTAGTCACATTTACGCACATAACTGTTTTAAATTTGGTATTTTAGAAGGTTTGATAGATTACAATCCTTGAAGTATAAAATTGTCCACAGAGGTTCCCGTTTTCGTATGGCCATATAACGGCCGCATTCACTTTATGGTTTTTTGATAAGTTAACTGCATTATCCAAACAGTCTTACTGGTATATGAAGTTTAAAGTGAAACACGCTTGAATTCTGATACTTTTATATAAAAATATTTTCTTTACCCTAAGGCGGATGATAATAATAGTTCTGCCCGGCCGAACTTATTTTTTTACTTGTTTTTAAAGTTAAACAAATTTCCGGTTCCTTAAATAATATCATGGTTATACAAAACGTGATCAGTTTTTGCAAGGATGGTTTCTTCCCAAATTACCAACATTTGCCGAAATTAGTAAGAAAATATGGTTAAAATGTAAGATATACTTGAAATCGGGTTGAATCCTCATCCGGGGGTTACGACCCATATTTTGAACTGCAAAAGCGATTTAAGGTATCGTGAAAGTTTAGGAAGAATTTCTGAAAGAGTAGAAACCCTTTTCCCTCTCCTTTTTTGCGCTTTTATATTCGGCATTTCACCGATTGCAGTCCAAATGAATTTTGCATATTGAGTTCTCATTGGACGGATTATTGTCATGTGAAAGAAGTAGTTAGGTGCACGTTTTGAAATCAGCCCCATAACGTTTTGTCGTTTATTTTTGTATGTTTAAATGTGTTCGCATCTTCCAGCTGAAACACGATGTAGATCCTGGAGTTGAAAGCTAAATGCCAATTTCAGACATGAAAGATCGCCATTTAACATCGTATGGCGTACTATTTCTTTTTGATATTATTTATTCAGAATTCAAAACAATAAACACTTCTGTATAGTTTTTAAATTGAAAAAATTTCACGCCAAAAAGATTTTTTCTTTTTTATTTTTATTGGCATATTTTACAATTTTTTTTTGCCAAGATTCCATTCCAAAATTGTATGAATTGTGAAAATCCTTCAAAACGTTCTTGAGTTATAAGCATAGTAACTAATAAAAAAAAATATTCAACTTGTTCGCTGGTTTTTTACAGCGAATGTTTAAAGGTCCTTACGAAGTTTGGTCTTTACTATTATTTTTCCCCGATTTTAGAAATTTTGAAATGCAGGTTTTTTTTTTTTTTTTGATTTTTTAGCAGCTTGGAAAAATTAATTATCTTTTAACTTTGGTTTGACCACGTTAAATTATTTTGACAGCATCTATTCAGGTCCGCAACTTCATAATTGTCGTCGCTTTATACTACCCAAAAAGACTACACATCATATTAAAGTTAAAAAAAAACACTACAAATGTACATTCCAAAATAGTAAGTCAAAATGGAAAAAATCATGCAAAATAAAACATTACTAATGTACACTTCAAAAGTCAAAATGAAAATTTTCAAAATTCACAATTTTACGCGATTTTTTTTTATTTTATCCTTTTCTGCCAAGAGACAATTTCGAATTTGTGTGAATCGTTAAAATCAGATCAGCGGTTCTTGAGTTATAAGCGTAGCAACTAACACAATCTTATTTTATATATTTAGATAGATTAGAAGTATGCGTTGTCAGTTCTTCAGACCCCAAATAGATCCCTAGGGTTGGAGGGAAAGTCAACAGTATCTCGTGTAATAATTTTCAAACCGATATCTTCATTATCTGGCATATATAAAGATTTTAGATACATCAAGAGAGTGGGCGTAAAAGTATGCGTGGTCAATATTTTTTCTTTAAAAACCTAGCTCAGGGTATGACGAACGTTTGTGCAAACAATTATGCAAATCGGTTCAGCCGTTTTCAACTGATTCCGTTACCAACAAACAACAATTGATTTCTATATATATATATATATATATATATATATATATATATATATATATATATATATATATATATATATATATATATATATATATATCCAGCACAAACCTCCAGCGAGTGTCATTTAAAGGTAAAAATATTGTTTCTCCAAATATATTATATAAAGATTTGTGCAGTTGCACAAAATGTGACAGGACATTGGCATTAGATAAACTATGTTTTAAAACAATTCTTCCAAAAAGCATATCAATGGAAAGCTTATGCAGAGTACGAGTTTTGGTTCAATCGGAGATCCATTATGATAAATACCGTATTTATCTAGCGGAGACACGAACCACTATGTTAACAATGTTAAAGTTAACAACACATATGAAACTGTTATTTTCTTAAAAATACTATTTTTTGCTGTTTAGTCATCAAAGAATATATCTTTTTATAATAAATAATACGATATAACTTTAATTATAAAATTTACTAAAAGGTTGCAAATTTGACATATTTCTCTATGCCCTGTTTGATTAAGCGTATAACAGTACGTGACACCCAACCAAATGCTCGATGTCTCGTCATGTCGGTCAGACTCAAACCCATCGTCATAACATGTAATGACCAATAAATAGTGTGAATAGTGTATCATAGAAAATTGTTCTACCAGCAAATAACAAAAAATAATGAAACAATTACCAACGAAAAAGTACACGCTCGTAATGAAGGCAAAGCGCAATCGCTATCTGTTTATCCGATATATGAAAAAATATTTCTTGGCAAATGCTAACATAT